GAACATGACAAATCAAAATACGCCAGAATATCTGGAGAAAATCAAGTAAGTTTTATCTTTTCGGCTTTGCAAACATGCTACCGGCGTACGCTACGTATCATGCATGGAAGATCTTGTTTGCTGCGAACGTAATGCCTGAGCTATCTTGAAAAAATAGCCGAAACACTTCAGGGTAGGCAGCCTCTCTGGTTTACGCCGAAATTAAGCTTTTTAAGGTGCAAGTGTGCCACAACTTCCTTCATATGGAAATCAAAAAATTCAGATCGCCTGAAAAAAATACGTTTCAGTAGTCTTCAGTAAAGGGAATGATTTATTTCGACGTACAGCATATTTTATGCAGTACAGTAAAACGTGAACTATTTAGTTTAATGCAAAAGCTGTTGTTTGATAAAATGCAAAATTTTTAGAACACAGCCGTGCATGAATGACAGTTCAATACAGAAACTGGCAACATCAGAAACGTTAATCCCGTACTTTGTTCTTCATAATGAGTTCATGCGATTCCATAGCTATAAACACAATAGAGGGCGAATATTTTGCTTCTGTATATTTTCAACGTTCTTCTGAAAACGTGTCATATCATCAGGGCCAAAATTGAGCAAAACGAGACAAATTGAAATAGACGGCGCCAAGCACCATTGTGACAGATAGTTGTCACTAATTTTTCTACATGAAATGCCTTCTCTTGGGCATGAAATGAATGTATGCATGCGGGATGCAAAGGTATTGGGTAAAAAGTGAACTGGCTTCATGCAGAAAGTTCATATTTGAAGAAGTGCAGTTATGGTGGGACAACTGTAAGGGAAAGTGCAAGTGTGTAAGGTTTCAGTGGTCTTTAGAAACGCCAGTTGTGGGCCTGATCTGTCACGCGTGTAAATGCCCCGTGTTGATCAGAGAAGACTTAGTTACAGTAGTTCCCAGGTTTTTGTCCTATCCTTGCGAACTGTTCCTCTTACTGAGCCACGGACATCGAAGTCGAAGTTTTTTTGCCTTGAATGTGCAAAAAGAATTACAGAGCAAGCAATTACAGTGTCCGTTTCAGGCCAAAACGACGTTTTGTTGAATAAAAACTTTAGTGTAAAATCGTTTGCTTACATGAGTTATATCTGTTGAAACGATTCTCCTTTGAGTACGATGGCTATGCTGACATTTCGATTACTGAATAGTGTTCAGGAGTCTTTGCTGGACTCCACGTGGCATTCTCGTGATTTGGTTAAACGCAGATTTATCAGCATCCTTTGTCAGTTATGTGTGATTTTGCGATTCAGATTATACGGCAGTTGTTGCTTGATTTGTTTCTTTCTGAATCACGTCGATTTATGAACTAACTACAAAGCTGTTTTGTTAAATTCCCCTTTTATGTCGAATTTCATTCTAGGACCAAAGTTTTCGAGAATCTACGAATGCTTCCGCATGCTCCTGGTGTTCAAATGCAACGTAAACTTTGAGCGGTGTCCTTTTTGTAGTTACTTGTGCATTTAGCTATTCCGGAGGACGCCATTAAAGATCTAGATGACGAAGATGAAGAAAAAGTCAACCCTGATCAGCGATTACCAAGTACGCAAAGTTTGTATACGTCAGTCTGGTATTTCCATGTCACTGTAACGCCACAAGTTAAGTAATTATTCTAACAGTATCGTAATATATCTAATTTTAATTTCTATTAAGCATCGTGTTTTTACCTTTGTCTTTTTATAAGACAAATTTTTCAGAGTTTTTTACGTTGCGTTGA